TCCCAGGGAAGCCTGTGATTGGCCCTAGCTTGGGCTGCATGTCCACTCTGGGTTACCATGACTGATGGTTCCCATCAGAAACACAATTTAGACTAGAGGAGGAGCAGTTCTTCAAAAGGAAAAAGGGGGAAGGAGCGCCAGGCAGATAAAAACAATTGGCGTCTCCCTTAGACACCAAGAGGTAAAGGGCAGGTGAGAAAAGGAGCCCTGGGAGAAGATTGAGAGGTGTCATCAGAGGCAAAGGGAAAGGCTGGACACCTGGGTCAAGGAGTTAGTTGGGAAAAGGAGCATGGCTGAAAGAGTCCAGCATTGAGAGTCTGCTATAGGATTTGTATAGCATTGCCCTGGAGGGGTCAGTAGCGTGTTTGTGGGTGCGTGTGTGACACTGGGGTTGGGAAGGCATGAAAAGTGAGAAAGTAGAGGCATCATGATGGGACAGCTCCTTAGCTGTGGGGCAAAGGCAAGAGGAGAGTAGTAGCTAGACGGGGTGATGAAGCCAAGAAAATTCTTTTTAAGGTGGACGAGACCTGAGTTTGTCCCTATGCAGACAGGAAAGAGCCAGGAGGGTGGGAAAGGATCAAGATGTGAGAGGGAGGCATCATTGTATCTGTTGTTATGTAACAAATTACCCCAAAATCTAGCAGCTTAAAACAACAAGTATTTATTATCTCCTACAGTTTCTGAGGTTCAGGAGTCCAGGAGCAGCTTAGCTGAGTGGTTCTGGCCCAGAGTCTTTCATGAGGTTGCTGTCAAGATGTTGGTTGGAGCTGTGGTCATCTGAAGCCTTGACCAGGGCTGGAGGATCTCTTCCAAGATCCCATGGCTCTGTACTGGAGGCCTCAGTTCCCCGCCACATGGATCTCTCCATAGGGTTGCTTGAGTGTCCTCATATCATGGCAGCCAGCTTCCCCAGAGCAAGCGATCTTAGAGAGAGAGCAGGAAGGGAGCCACAAAGCCTTTGATGAACTAATCTTGGAAGCTACACTTCATCATGTCCACCTTATTCTATTTGTTAGAGGTAAATCACTAATTCCACACTCAAAGGGAGGAGAATTAATCTCCATCTTTCATAGGGAGGAGCGTCAAAGGATTTGTGGACATATTTTAAGCCCTCATATTAATTGCGAAAGCAAAGGCCCTGCCCAAGGCCAAAGAGATGAGGGTCAGGCCCAGTTCAAAGGATTAGTTTGGGGCTGTGGGAAGGCTCTTTCCCCTAGGGACAGTCACTTCAGTGTTCATAGGTATGGGGGAAGGCAGGGAGTGTGCACAGCTGGATGCTGAAGCTTTCTTCAGTGAAGCAGGAGTCAAGGTGTCTTGCAGTGATGGGGGGAGGTGATGGAAAGGAACTTGACATAAGGGCTTTGGCAGAAAGAGCGCACCACAGCCTGAGGAGGGTCCTTGGGCATTTCTGAAGGCCTAGGGGAAGCACAGAGTCCATGGGTGATGCACATAGTTAACTCACTTGGCTACTAACTGAAAGGTTGGAGGTTTGAGTCCACCCAGAGTTACCTTAGAAGAAAGGCTTGGTGATCTACTTCTGAATAATCAGCACTGAAAGCCCTATGAAGCATAGCTCTACTAAGCTGGAGTTGACTCGTCAAACTGGTTTGAGGGGAAGGCACAGGCCATGAAACTGCCCAGGCCCTCATTTCCAAGGTGGTGCGATCCATCCCTACCTGTGCTCAGATCCAGGGCTAGGAGGTTGCAAGGTTAGAGCTGAAGTCGGTTAAAGGGAAGTAACAGTATTCACAAGGGATCGACGGACCAGCAGGGTCCACATAGTGTAGCTTCTTGTACTTTATTTTTGTATTTCAGTTATGGGTATTTGCGATGCCACTTTGTTACAGAAGAGGTTGAAGGCCGTTTCTGGGCTAGAAATGAACGTGGTTGATAGACTGGGTAGAAATGGAGGGGCCAAGGGGCCAGAATGAAATGAGAGAACAATTGCGAACAGGAGAACGAGATGAGTCTGGCATGTCTGAGGTCATCCCCTGGCAGGAATGACAGGACTGGCATGGGGTTGGGGGACCTGTGAGACAGATCCTGGTGTCTGAAAGAGACGGGACATACATGGAGGTCAGATGCTGTGAGTGAGGAGGGCAGAGAGCGACAGAGCCAGGGGCTGAGGGTGCAGGAGTAAGGGCCAGAGGCAAGGCAATGCCTCCCCGCGTCTCCCCCTCCATCACCTCCCCTACCTCCCTGGGATGTGCAAGGGTGCGAGGTGGACCAGCCTCTCCTTGAAAGAGCTTCCTTGGGAGACAGGATTGAGTTGAGGTCTTCTCTACACCTTTTCACAGACTCTTAAACTTTTCCAAACCAGATGAAGTAAGGCAAAGAACGTGGATTTTGGAGTAGGAGTTGGGTAGAAGACTGCCTCACCAGTTATTTAACATTTGAAAGTTTCGGTTTCTCACCTGTAAAATGGGAATACCAGCCTTTCTTCTCAGAGGTGTGTCTGCCACATGGGAAGTCCTTTCCCAAAACCTGTAAACCAAACCTGTTGCTGTCTAGTCGATTCCTACTCATAGTGACCCTATAGGGCAGAGTAGAACTGCTTCATGCAGTTTCCAAGGAGCACCAGGTGGATTTGAACTGCTGACGTTTTGGTTAGCAGCCATGGCTCTTAACCACTGCACCACAAGGGTTTCCCCTTTCCCAAAGGTGGCTGTTAATTTTTGGTATGCTGAGGCTCCACCTTGTAAATGAGAATAAGCAGATTCCAAAGCCTTGCCTACCCGGCATGCACAATGGCCACAGGTGGCCAGGCCATCTCCTGGGCCTGCTTCCCCAGGACAGAGGGTGTGAACCCAGGCTGCAGTTCTGTCAGCTGCCTCAGCACCTGGTGATCCCTCAGAACCATAGGAGAGCCCCCTGGGGAGGCCTTGGGACCCAGAGCAAGCATGTCTCGGGTCCTCACCTTCATATAGCATCTCAGTCCTAACAGCCGACCCACAACATCCAAATCTTTCCCATTTCAGGACAGAGAGAGCTGCAGCCTGGTGAGGTTACATCAGCCTCAGGACTTGCTCTGGCTCACACAGCTCATGAGTGGCAGAGCTGCACATTCCCACCCTGCCGTGCCCCTTTCCTCGGGCCCTTATGCAGGGCATGGAGGTCATGGGATCTGAACATCCATGGGGAGCCAGGCTGGAGTTCCCCTGAGAACATCCTCAGATTCTCTGATTCTGACTCTGTCACCCAAACATCCCAGTGCAGCCTCCTGCTTCCCCCTGTCTCCAGGGGAGTGTGGACAGGACCAGCAGACGGCTACCCGTCCTTTGGGGTTGAAAGAAAAATGTCACCACAGACCTTAAAATGAATCTACACTCTACAAATGGGTGGGCTATTATTGTTACTGAAAGTATGAGTACCTGTGCACTAACTAAAACTTGGAATGAAAGAATTCTTTGTATGCCTCTCCTCTGTCCAACAGAATAGAGGGCCGAAAGGAGTCTGTCACAGTTAATGCTCCTCCTCCTATGCTCCCACTCGCAGTCTGCTCGTCCCAAACATTCTGGCCCCTAATAATTGCCTGCCCTTGATCCCACCGTGCCTTTGCTAAAGCTAGGCCATCCTAAGAGGATGCCCTGCCCTTCCTCCACTGTGAATGCTTATCCATCAAAGCCGTCATAAAAGTAACAACCTCTCCAAGGACTTCATTCAGTTTGTTACGGAACAAATAGTTCCTGAGACCCTTCTGGGGGCCAGGCCTCTGCTAAACACAGGGAACCCAGTGATGAACAAAGCAGACACATCTCTCTCTCAGACCAATCTCAACCTTAAGTGCAACACCGGAAAAGAGAATTAGGATAATGGTGGAGGCCAGCAACCGAGCCTTTCTGTGTGCTCCCAAAGCATTTTTTTTTTTTACTTGTGGTAAGTATATAGGTAACAAAACATTTACCATTTCTACAATCTTCACATGTATACTTCAGTGACATTTATTGTGTTCATCTTGTTGTTCAACCATCACCTTTAACTGTTCCCAAATTTTTCTGTCACCCTTAACAGAAGCTCAGTGTTCCCTAAGCAATGAGCCCCCGTCTCCTTCTCCCTTCCACCCGCCCCTGGTAACCACTAATAAGCTTTGGTCTCTGTATACGTGCCTCTTCTAGGTACTTTATATAAGTGGGACCATACAATATTTATCCTTCTGTTATTGGCTTATTTCACTCACTATAGTGTCTTCAAGGCCAAAGCACTTTTGAGACAGGTTTGAAACTAGGCAGGTCTGTGTTCAATTCCCAGCCGTTCTACTAACTAACCAGGCCACCTTTCCTTTGTTGAGCCTCATCTGTAAAACGAGCGAGCCCCCATTTCAGGGTTGCTGTGACGCTCTAATAAAGCCTGTAATGTTTCATAGCACGTTTCATAGCTATGAAGGTTCTCACCTCAGCCCCGCCCACCGCCCCAGGGGTGTGGTGATGACTGGTTTTCATGGATGTCTGGTCAGATAAAAGTTGGGCTTCTGGATGACAGAGCCCTGGTGGTGCAGTGGGTAAGCATTCAGGCTGCTAACCAAAAGGTCAGCAGTTCGAATCCACCGGCCCCTCCTTGGAAACTCTATGGGGCAGTTCTACCCTGTCCTATAGGGTCGCTATGAGTTGGAATCAACAGCAAGGAGCTTGGTTTGGCTTTTCTGGATGACAGGGACTGTGCCTTAAATATGCTTGGAGGCCCAGTCCCAGCATCCAGGCCAGTGCTGAGTGCCCAATAGACGTTTACCATACCATACCCGTTGCCGTTGAGTAGACTCCGACCCAAAGCGACCCTATACAAGAGACGTTTAATGAAGAAAAAGTAGGATGAAAGAAAGGAGAAAGGATATTCTTACATTTGGGGTAGGCCTACGACTCATTTATCTAAGAGTCGTTTTTCTGAGCAAGGCCCCACGCTGGGCACTTGGGGGCATGTTGATGAACAAACAGCGTCCCTGCCCTCCAGGGGCTCAGAGCCAGGGGAGCATGAGGGTTCTGACATTCTGCTTTCTCTCTGCATACAGGCTGTGCGTTGCTGCTGACTCAGAATGGCAACTTTCAGGCTGGTAAGAATTGCATTGATTTGATCTAGAGCTTTGTTGGGAAAAATCAAAACCCCATTACGTTCCCCTCTGTTCCATTTCTGCTCTGACACCAGCTGCACATGCAGCACTTCTTCCTCTAACCCTAACCACCTGCAACTAGATCAGATCTCACAAGTTATAGGGCACAGTCCTCCAGACTGCCAAGCCTGTCCAACACTTCAGACACCAGATGCAAGCTTGGAGTCCCTACAACATCATTGCTTCTGATCCCATGCTGCCTACAATTTTCAGTTTTTCTCACTAACCCCTCAGGATTCCCACCGTAGGCTCAGGGATCCCCAGGGCTCCCCCTCACTTCTGACCTGCTGACTCCCACTATTCCTCTATAATTCACTAGAACTCACGGGACACACTATAGTTATAGTCATAGTTTTATTATGGCAAAAAGGATACAAATGCAGAGTCGTACAGGGTAAGGTCTGAGAGGGTTCCGCATGCAGAGCTTCCAAGTTCCAAAAAGGGTCATGCTACCCTCCCACATGCACTAATGTCTATCACCAACCGGAAGGTCCTGGAGCTTCAGCATCCAGAGCTTTTATTGGAGGTCTCATTACATACTTCAAACTCCAGCCTCTCTCCCTGAGGTCAGTCAATATCATAATATATCTTTCTGGCATAGCCAGCCCCCAGCCAACATGAGTCATGAACTCTTAGGTGTGGTCTGGAGTCTTCACCAAAGACATTTCAATTATTGGGGAAAGTCCAAGGTTCTAGAGGTTATCTCTCAAGAACCAAGGACAAAGACAAAATTCTTTGGGTAAAGTTAACTCCACTGGGCTATTTAGGAAAGTTGCCCAAGGCTGAGTTAAATCACTTCCAAGGAAAGAAGCGGAGAGGCAATGAGCTCCTTATAAGGAAAATGCCAGCGACAAGAGAATTAGAGGAATAAAACAGATTATATAATCTAAAGAAATGAGTGTGGCCAACTCATGGACCTTGGCAGCGTTGCCACACATTCGTAATGACCCTTCACTTACCTTCAGGGCTTAAAACGTCTTGACAGAGATCCTCCTTCCTTGTCCCATTGGGGCAGTTGCAGGGAGCTCGCACAGACAAAACAGATGAGGACAATGTGGGCAAGGTGGGAGCTCAGGCATGGGCAAGCCGCCACCTCTGGCCTCTGCACCGTTTTCCCTTTGCTCAACAAATGCTTATTAGGTGCCTGGTGTGTCTCAGTGGCCAAGAGCCAGCCATCTTTGGGAAGGAAACAGAAGAGTTTTATATTCACTGCTTAGTCAACAGGCATCCCTCTGCCCCTACTGGGGGTCTGGCCCTACACTGAGGCAAATGAGAAGAATGAGCCACTGGTCCTGCCTTGGGGTCAGGCACAGTCTTCTGCCTCCAGACAGTAATGTTACTAGGGTTGGTGTCACTAGTGCAGTAACTCACGGTGTCAACCCGCCCCCCCACCGTGGGCAGAGCGGCTGCGCTGTGGGGGCCCACCCCTCCAGCCCCTCCAGCCTCCTCACCCCCCCAGACCCCCGTACCCCGCTCCCTGCTGCTCCTCCTCTCTCCCATTGGCCAAGGCAGAGACCCTCTCCGCCCAATGGTGGGCACTGTGGCCTGGCCACCTGCACCCTGACTAGTGGGTGATGGTGGGGGAAGGGTAAGGGGGTGGTAATGAGACTGGACCAATGGATCCTTGCCCAGTGTGCAAGGCGCCAATCTCTCAGACACTGGTTTTGAGAGGAAGAAAGAGTTTATTTCACAGGCTAGCAAGCAGGAACTCGGCGGTACCAACCTCAGATTGAGTTCCTCGATTTGAGGAAGCATTTACATTTTATAGGTTTGGGGAATTATACAGATTCATATAGGGGTGGAGGAAGGCAGGTGGGCAGGATCAGGAAATTCTACATATTCACAGTTTCTATTTGATTATTACGGGGTGGGGCTAAGACTTGGCACAGAAGCAGCTGATGGACTCTTTGCTTTTGAAATGGGCTTGGCTACTGCAGATGACCTGTGTCTGGTGATTTGGGTTCTTTGACATGAATCTTTTCATTTCTTGGCATGAGTTCTCTTGTATTATTGAGCATATGTGATGGCCCGAGGTTGTCTGTCAATCATCTTTGTTTGTTCTACGCATGTCTGACCACTCTGAGCCAGTTAGATCTGTATCTGCCTGGGGCTCTCCAGAGAGTCTGCAAAACAACTTAGAGGAAGTGAGTGATGTGGTGAGAGGTGACTGGGAGTGCCTGATAACTGGTGGAGTACTAATTAGTTAGGTGACCTCCGCCTCTAGGGTCCCCTAAAGTAACGAGTTATTGCATTGGGTGACAGGTGACACCAACCCTAGTGATGCCACTGCCTTGGTGACCCTCCCCAGTGGTGCCTGCCCACCTGTGACTGCCACCGCAGCCACTGCTGACTCTGGGGTCATTTTGGTGTCACCCCCTCTGACAGTGTCGGGGGATGTGGTTCACACGCCCCCCCCCCCCACTACTGTAGTGATGCCTCCAGACAACCCAGGGTGTAGAGGAGACCCTCCAACGAGCCCGGCGTCCTCCCCCCAGCCCTCCAGAATCCCACCCTCTTCCCATGTCCCAGAAGACCAAGGAAAGCCAGACAGTGCTGCAAAGTCCTCTTTAAAAATAAAAATAAAATATTCTCCACAAAGCAGCCATTGTCTCCTCCTGGCTGCTGGATGGCTAAGGTGGTTTTTTTACAGTTGCAGAAGAAAGAAGACTGTTCTAGGTTGGAGAGAGGACACACATGGTATAAAAATTCAGGTTACAAAGGCTGTTGGTTACTAAGTCCCAAACAGAAGAGCTTGGAACCGCTTTGGAGCATGAGGAGGTTTGAAGGCAAAGCTAGTCTTACTTCACAAGGGAATAGCCCCATGGGATGCATTAGCCAGAAAGGTCTCCTTGGGAACAGGACTAACTTGAAGCAGACTTTAGAGAGATCTGTCTTGGGGGAAATTACTCACAATTACAGTTGTGGTCCTGCTCTATCTTTTAAGAGTTCCAGGGCCTTGGGAAGAGGATGATTGTCCTGTTCATCAGAGGGCCCAAGTGGTTGTTGAATAAGAGGCAGGTCCATGTTGAGCCTATTACTGCTTTACTGGGTGTCTCTGCTGTACTCTGTGCTGGACACTATGTGGACCCTTATCTCACATCTTCAAAACAGCCCTTTGAAGGTGCCGCTTTCAACTGGGGGATATCTGAGGCCATATGCCTCGTCCAGGCCTCTTCATTCTTGGGACCTTTTAATCATCAGTCCGACGTGGCCTGTCTGAGATAACTTCTCAGGACATTTGCAGCAGTTCCCTTTCTGATCTGGGTCATCTAGTGGGTGCGGGTAGAGGGAGAACATCCACACAGCTTCTGAGGTACAAAGATCACAGGTGAGTCAGCCACCTGATGGCCGAGTCAGCTGATGCCTACTCCTCCAATCTTCCTCCAACCTCTCTTGCCTTCAAGACTTTATCCCTCTTACTATCTACCACCTCTTGGAGCTGAGCTGACCTGGGTTCAAATATCAGCACTACCACTTACATCTCTATAGTAAAAATAGAAGTAATAATACTATTGTTGTGAGGGTCACATGGGATCACTGGCAGCCACGTATGATCCCAAGGGTTTTTTAATTTTAATTATTTCATCGTGGTAAATATCTGTACAACAAAACATTTGCCAATTCAACATTTTTCACATGTACAATTCAGTTACATTGGTTACATTCATCATATTGTATGATTATCACTACTATCCATTTCCAATTTTTTCCAACAACTTTAACAGAAGCTCAATGCCCCTAGGCAATGATTTCGCCTTTCTCCCTTCCTCCCACCTGTGGTAAACACTAATGAACTTTGGTCTCTAAACATTTGCCTGTTTCATATAAATGAGATCATACAGTATTTGCCCTTTTGTGACTGACTTCATTCAGTGTAATTTTTCCAAGATTCATCCATGCTGTAGCATGTATCAGGACTTCATTTCTCTTTATGGCAGAGTAATATTCCATCACACGTATTACTGCAATTTGTTTATCCATTTATCTGTTGGTGGACATTTAGGCTGTTTCCACCTTTTGGCTGTTGTGAATAGTGTTGCATGAACATTTGCATCCAAATATCTGTTTGTGTCCTGCTTTCGGTTCTTTCAGGTACATACCTAGCAGTGGAATTGCTGGGTCATATGTTAATTCTATGCTTAACTTTTTGAGGAACTGCCAAACTGTTTTCCACAGTGATTGTGCCATTTTACATTCCCACCAGCAGTGGATGAGGGTTTCAATTTTCCCACATCCTTGTCAGTATGTTATTTTCCTTCTTTGTTTTTATCATAGCCATTCTAGCGGGAGTAAAGTGATATCACATTGTGATTTTGATTTGCATCTCCCTAATACTCATGAGGAGCCCTGGTGGTGCAGTGGTTAAAAGCTCAGCTGCTAATCAAAAAGGCAGCAGTTTGAATCCACCAGCCACTCTATGAAAACCCTATGAGGCAGTTCTACTGTGTCCTATAGGATTGCTATGAGTCAGAATCGACTTGAAGGCAATGGGTTTTCGGAATGACTAATGATGTTGAGCATCTTTTCATGTACTTGTTGGACATTTGAAATCCCTCTTTGGTGAAATGTCTATTCATGATCCCCAATTTGATAATAGCTCTAGGACTGCTAGATGTTCTGAGTATATATAAGGTAGAAAGAGTGGTCCCAGGCAAAGGAAACAGCACTATGCAAAGGCCCAGAGGTGAGCCAGATTGTAGTACTTTGGGGGAAAGTACTGGGGCAGGAAGAGACCAGGTAGAAAGGTGTGCAGGTTAAATCTGTACTCCAAGATGGTCATCTTGAGACACATTTGGTACTAAGCGCTGGGAATGTGGCTGGTCCAAATGGAGATGTGTTGTAGGTCAAAATACACTTCAAATTTCAAAGACTTAGTACAAAAACGAAAAAAAATAAAATAAAATATCTCATTAACATTTTAATATTGATTATCTGTTAAAATG